TAAAGCTAATTAAAATTAATGCTCGCTTAGTAATTAATGTAAAGAAACAGATTGTGTATTTAAATATTTTATATTTATGTATATAAAATGGGGCTACAGAATGTACGTCAAATTGAATAATTTTTTTGAGAGCTTTAAAGCGTCTGCAAAGCGATACTGCAGACGGAAAGAGTCAGGGAGTATTGATGACTGATTTTTAACGATATGATTTAACATTTATGTAAACATCAGCTAAGAGAATAAACGTGACGTGGGCAATATTTTTACGTGCCTTGATTACCTGATACCCGGAAAATGGCCTACTAGTCAAACTAGCAGGTAAGCATGCGATCATAGTACATACTAACACTACTCAATCTTACAAATTTTGTTCGTCAGAAAATAAGTAACTTCTGGTGGCCCTGGGATCTTGCTCTATTTAATAGAATTAGTCCGATCGAGATAATGATGTTCCATTGACGTTGAAACAGAACAAAATGGAATATTATCTTTTATTCAATACTAGCCGCTACTCGGCGCGTCGTTGCTGCAGAAGAAATAATTATCAAAATATCACTTCAAATTTGGAAGAATTATATTGTTTAAATTAGAAATTACAATGTTATGTTACTTTCAAATATATTTATCAGTACGATATGCGCGCCACCTAGCGTTAATTAATTTTACTATATCTACATTCACGCAGATGCAAACAATAAGTTGACAAAGTTTTACCGCAATGTGATGAACGGTATGGCATCGCATAAAATACAAACAAACTAGATTCTTAGTTAATACTCGCGACCCGTTCCAGCTTTGTCCGGGTAGGATAGGATGTTTAGATTTAGGATAACTAAATACGATTTATCAAATCAATTTTTTTTAATGTAAAAATATTCTGATAAAATATTTTTTTTTATAGAATAAGGGTGACAAACGAGCACACAGTCCACCTGAAGGTAAGTGGATGCTGTGGTGTGTGGTCTATAGACATCTACATTTATCGTCGATCAAGAATGAAAATGCAGATGCGTTGTCCTCTCTGAGGACTAAGATGGAGTGCCTCGTTTCCAGTAAAAAGGGTTACTGGTTCTCTACATAAACCATACGAAACAAAGGAGCAATGAGCTGCTATTTTACGCTGGTATTCTGTGAGAGCGTGGTCTCACCCCGGTCAAGCCCACCCATTCATGCTGCAACCACAATATAGCTACAGCATGGCTCTACCACGTACAAAATAGACTAAAAAGAAAATATAGACTAGATTACTCCTGGTGAGTGATGTCTCTTTATGTGCTTATAAAGCTTCATTACCATCGATTCAGTGACTTCAAAGATTAGTTCGGACTGACACACAGGCAGACAGACAGGCAAGAAAAATTTTTAAAAGGGTCAACATCACCATCATCATTACAGCCCTTCACAAGCCCTCTGCTGAACATAGGCCACCCCCAAGGAATACCACAAAGCACGGTTCCAAGCCACCCGCATACATCAACCTCCTTCGTGTCTTACCAGGTCACCACTACTTCTTGTAGTGGGCCACCCTGCACTTCGTTACTCGAGAACCTTTCTTCCCCATCGGTTGTCAGTTCTTCGAGCTATATCGCCGGTCCATTGCCATTTCAACTTACTAATCCGTTGGGCTATGTCGGTTACTTTGGTTCTACTACGGATATCCTCATTTCTATCAAGTTGATCACGCAGAGAAACCCCAAACATAGCGCATTCCATACCTTGTTGAGCGACCTTGAGATTCCTTATACGGCTAGAAGTGAAGGACCACGTCTCAGATCCCTAAGTCATCACTGGCAACTCGCACTGATTGTACAATTTTGTTTTCAAGTTTTGAGGTATACATGACGAGAAGATGTGCCGTAATTTTCCCAACGCTGCCTAGCCGAGTTGAAAACGTCAATTGAGCTCTCACTTGAAGTTGGACTTACCTAGTCGGACTATTTGTCCCAGGTAAACATACTCGTCAACAACTTTGAGCTTAATGCTCCCAACGCCTACCGGCATAGGTGTAATTTAGACGTTACACATGATCTTTGTTTTGTCCATGTTTATTTTAGAACTAAACCTTTTGAGACACTATAGAGGTCATTGAGCATAGTGCTTAGGTTCTCTAGCGATTCCGCCATAGGGACTACATCGTCGTCAAATCGAATATCACTGATGTACTCGCCATTGATGTAATGGCGAGTAAATACTCATACATTATAGATTATATCTTAATACCGTATCCTTTCCAGTCCAATTAATTGAAAACGTCTTCCGATGACGCTGCATTGTGAGCTGCGCAGAAAAGTTTGGGGATATAAGTAACCCTATCTTACACCTCTTTGTAGTTGGACAGGTTTCGTAATCTGGTTCTGTAAAAAACAATTCAGCACTTCGATATACCGACAGTTCCCATCCAAATTTAGACGGAATCAAAGGCTTTCTCACAGTCCACATACGCAAGACAAAGTGGCAGATTGAACTCTTCGGTTTTCTATACAATTTTGCGAAGGGTATATTTGGCCTTATGGTGCCTTTTCGGAAATGGAATAGACTTGTTAGATGAAGGAAATGGCATACTTGGATAGCCATCGTAGCCCTACTGTACAAACACTTCAGCACTTCGATATACCGACAGTCAACTTGGCACCACTGAAGGGATTGAAGCACTGCCTAAATTTCAACGGAATTAAAGGCTTTCTCATAGTCCACATACGTAAGTCAAAGTGGCATGTACATCTGCCAAATGGAACTTTAACTCATCGTTCCATCTTGTTTTGCGTTTAAGTCTCCTATTAACACCGTAAAGTGGATTTTTGGAGGAACTTCATAGCCCTATATATCCTCAAACATTTTCTCCACCTCTTCATCGGGATATGCCGAAGTTGGTGCGTATACCAGTATTCCCTTCAACGAATACCGTTTGGTGATTCTGAGTATAAAATATGCAAACTTCTTCGACACACTCCCAATATTTACAACGTTATTAACGACGGATTTGTGGACGACAAATCCGACACCTTCTTGGGACAAAGGTTGCCCTTTCGATGATAGAACAAGTTGCTGGATTTGAGGACCCTGTTCGGACCTCAGATAATATAATAATATATAATAAATAATAAATAATCCTATAATATCCCAGCGTAACTTGTCTCTCTTATTCCAGCTCCAGATCTTCTCGTCAGTCATCAAGGTGCGTACGTTAAATGTTGCCAGGTCGAGTCAATCGTCTTAGTTGGCAACCGAACCTCCACCGAAGATTCTTAGCACTCCCTTCCTCGCCGTTACCATTGTCACCACCGTAGCCAGGAATAGTGGGGCCACCGTGGACTGGGGGCCGTTTCATTGCGTCGTAGCACATGGGGGGTAGTTTGCCATAGATGCCACGCTTAGCAAGCGGATTGGCAACCGTAATTATTTATTGTTATTTTGTAGTTGTCATAAACGGCTCTCAAGGGAAAAGAAGTGTTGTATTTTAACATGAGGCGTCCTCAAGATTGACAATAGGTGGTGGACGCAAGGGGGAGCTCTTGGTGACATCGTATCTACGCCCTTCTTCTTTATGTAGTTAAGTTGGTTACAGGTGTTCAAAAGATTCAGTAGCCACTTGCCATTAGAACATTAGGTAGACTGTCAGCGATACTCACTTTACATTGAAAAAAATCCATTATATTTTATTTGTTGACTCTACCTATCTTCGCCATGTTACCACCATGCCATAACTTAAGGGTGTCGTAGGAGTTGACAGACGGGGATAAAAACGCGGTTGCTATTTTGCCTATCCCGTCTATGAGGTAATCTATGGGGAAGACTTATTATTAGCAATATACTTTTGATAAGCCGTTATAAATGATGGTGCCATGTTGATCTAGAATTTATGGGTCCCATTTTTATATGGGACTTATTAATTAGTTATTATCTATATAATATTTACGCGAATACTGCACATTAAATTTTACAGTTTTTATCGCATTTAATTTACTTATTTTTAATTTATAACGTCTTGGCTGAGATGTTTGATGTCCCGATGTCATAGTTAGTGCGGCTACGTTCAGTTTTCGAATATTAATTTTTGGTCCGATCTACGCAAAACGAGCTTACAGTATCTTAAAGTCTTGCAGTGGTATGTTTAGGTTTGGATTTAATTTTGTTAATTATTAGATCTCAAGCAGATGGCAGCACCTTCTCTATTGAAATTAGGATTTTATAATCTCATTAGCCTCACGTATTATCCATAATAGGAATCGGTGTTATTTATAAGAGGATTAGTGGTCTATCAAATCTGATTTGCGCGCGCAATCCATAAATGGCTGGGCGACCTTGAACAAGTTCACATACTGCAGAATTCCCGGAGTGTTGGTGCCTCACTTCTGCTATATGTTCTTTCACGCGGGGTTTTATAGATCTTTTTACATAAGACAAATAAAAATATCTATAAAAACCCGCGTGAAATAACATAAAGCAGACGTGAAAAAAAATTAAAAGGCTGCCATGCTGTATGGCGACCGAAGGAAAGGACCTGGTAATGCTTTCCGGGGGTTTCGTGCCTCCCCGAGGTCTCCATGCTAGGTACCATCGAAGCTGTGACTCTGCATCCCTAGGTAATATGTGTGACGCCTCGTCCAACTGCCATTCTCTACACCTTTTTACTCCAGCAATAATGAATAAAAGGAAGAAGAAAAGTAAGTCCTTACAGCGTTTGCACACCTTCTCCGTCAAAGTGCACCTCACATACATCCGATACATGCTGCTGTTTCATGTGGCGAGTGCAGAGAGTTTAAACGTAGTAGAGTCATGCTGCAACTATATTATGGTTATAGCACGAATGGGTCGGACCACGCCCTCAAATAATACGAGAGTAAAATAGCAACTTAACACTGCTGTGTTTCGTATGGTAAGTGTAGAGAACCGGAGACCCTTATTATGTTTTTGATACTCAACATCCACTTACCTTCACGTGTGTTCGTTGGCCACCTTTATTCTACAAAAAAAATGTAAGAAATAAAACAAAGCAAATTGCACGTGCAGTTTATTTATTATAAAAAGTTAATATATTGAAGCACCACTCTAAACGATAGGGTAATAGCCGTCGGTCATGAGGAAGCAATTGTTATCTGCAGTGGACATGAGTATGTAGCCGTCTTCGCCCCAGTCCTCACCCCAGGAGTTCTTCACGATCCAGTAGTTCGCGCCGTCGCGGACACCGTATCCAACCACCGTGACCGCGTGATTGGTAGGGTACTTGTTGCTTTAAAACCAATTATTAAATAAAATTGCACAACTCTAAAATAAAAATATAAAATACAATCATTACAGTACTATATTTCTTATTGTCGTGTATCGGTAGCGATAGAGCAAATAAACGCACTACCCCATATCATATCGTGTGCCTCGTAAGAGGCGAGAGAGGGATATTCACAGGAGATGACTAGCAGCATGTTATTAATAACAACAAAGTTAAAAAAACTGCGGTTGCCAAATTGCCTTCCAAGTGTAGTAACAATGGCAAATATCTCATCAGTGCAACTTTGACAGGCTGTATGTATGAAAACGTTTTATTTCACGTCAAAGAAAAACAAATCACATTTAAAATAAACAAATATAGAGAGAAAACAAAAGGCGGTCTCATTGCAATATCTTCTAGACTGTCTTCTAAACAGAAAAATGTAGAAAAATTATAGATGGGATATTTTTATAAAAATGATGTGAAAAACAGTCAACAGATGCGTTAATACCTCTGAGGACTAAGATAGAATACTGTTGAGTTCTACCGTAAATCGAAACGCAACAGTGATATGTTTGAACTTTGAACGGACGAATATACTCGGTCTCTGGATGGTTTAGATTCACAATTGGACCCGGTAGGTGGCGCTGTGGTCGAAATCAAGAAATCACCCGTGCGAAGTCGGGTAGGATTGCTAGTAATACAGTATTTACATTGTAAAATAAAGAAAAACTGACTGAAAAGAAATCTGGCAAATGTATGTGTTGTTTGATTTTGTTGATTATGCAAGAACAGAGAAAGATTTTATTAAATATTCACGATTATAATTTATGATTATTTGTAATTAATTTATATACTCGTATATATTTAAGTACATGTTACTTATTCGAAAGATATTTGTAGAAAGTTGTGGGTAGATATATATTGGCCACAGCATCCACTTATCATCAGCTGGACTGTGTGTTCATTTTTTTTAGAAAAAACTTACCACTTAGGTTCATAATAAATTCCGCTAGAGTAATACAGCATTGATAACTCGGAATTGATGACAACAGTGACAGGGCCAAATTTGTAGAGTGCCGCCTTCAGAGCGGTCTCACTGAGCGATGGCACCTTAGCAAATCCTTTGATGTTATAAACGTTTGTCATATTCTTCATTTTGCAGTAATCGTCCTGGGGAAAAATAAAATAACAAATCGTCATCATCATCAACATTGTTAAAGACCACGGCCACTGCTGAACCTTTGCCTCTCACAAGGAATGCTAAAAAGCTGGGTCCTGAGGCACCAGCATTTATCGACTCTCTGTATGTCTTACCATGTCGCCTATCCTTCTTACGCATCCACTACACGACACAAAAACACACAGACAATATATAAATATATATATATATGTCTGTGTTTTTTTTGTGTCGTGTGTGTGTGTTAATTTGTAAAGAGACGCACAGAGGAGTGGAGTGAGAAGGAGTACAGAAAGCTAAATATTAAGTGCGTGCTTGTGCTTGCTTAATATAGAAACATGATAACTTTATAAATTAACTACGGTTGAATTTTCACCACCAGGCGATTACTAGTTTTATATTATTACCTGTTCCAAATATGGTCCATATTCCCTCTGTGTAGGTATGCCATATAATGTCACGTATTTAAACGCCTCGTACAGGAATCCACCGTTACAGCCTTGATTAGAATCAAATTTATAACCTTTGCTGAAAAATTAAAAACCTAATGATTTCTTATATTGCGCGTACACTGATCGTTGATTAAAAATAATTTGACATATTTTATCAGCCTAATACCTAATACTTCATGACCCGTGGCCATTGCGGAACTGAGGTATTGACGTTGTTATACCTGGTAGAGTCATGCTGCAGTTTTATTAGTTGTATAGTTGTAGCACGAATGGGTCGGCTCGACCAGGGAAGGACCACGCTCTCACAGAATACCAGCGTAAAATAGCAGCTTAATGCTGCTGTGTTTCGTATGGTGAGTGTAGAGATCTAAAGACCCTTTTTACTAGAAAAGAGCTTTCCATATTAGTCCTCACAGCTGACAATGCATCTGCATTTTGATTCGCAAACGAGGATAGATGTAGATGTCTATGAGCCACAGCAACCACTTACCAACAGGTGGACTTTGTGCTTAATTGTCACCCTTATCCTATAAAAACAATTTAAAAATTAGGTATTATTGGACGCCGGAATTAATTTTAGCAAAATGAGCTCACTACGTCTTGAATTCTGGTAGTGGATGGCTTAGGTTCCTATTTAATATTTAAACTGTAATTATTAAAGATATATGTATGCTTTTTAAATTTAGAACATGTACAACACGCATTGCTGCCACGCGTCATTTTTTTCCTGCACCAAAAACCTTCTTAGAAAGTAAAGGACGTATGTGGCCATTTGCGCACGCAAATATGATTACTGTTCATGAGGTCCTGAGTTCGAATATCGGATCGGCTGAAAATCAGTTATTGTGTTTTCTATTAAGAAAATGTCAGGAGCAGCTCGGAGCTAGGAATTTAGCGGTGTTTCACCCCCGTCCCTCGGAAAGCATGTTAAGCCGCGTCTCCACCAAAGTTTTGTTACCAACTGTTGTGTTGGCAACAAAACTTGAAACAATGTCGGGAACTGTGTTTCCATTTTCGGCGGCAACATCAAAGTAATACGCTTGTTGGAAACATTTGTTCCCTCGGTGGAGACGCTTGTTAGAAACAGTTGGAAACATAAAGGTTGTCAAAATTTTTGGCTTTAAGCTGTTCGTCCTGCAAGTGATCTCTCTCCAGTCGTGTCGGATTACTGTACCATAGGACTATGACAGTGAAAGAATAGAGATTGCATCTGTACTTGCGCATACACTTTGGCCCTATAATCTTGTCCAGCGCAAATGATAAGTCTCCGTTGAGACTGACCGCTGTGCCGTGACGGAAACTCGGTCGGCGGAGGACATTATTATTTTGTAGACTGTAATTTAAACTTCTTGTAGTTATCTGCCGAAAGCAAACACATATTTACCAATGATATTAAGAATGCAACAAATAAAAACTACTTTAAATTACTTCTACGACAACATTACCTGAGGGCACTTACTAACTGACTTTTTTTTCAAATATTTATTTATTTATATATCAATACGGATATTTATTTATAAAGTTTATAAGCATGTATACACATTACATATATGTATGTATGTATTATTGTATTACATATATGTAAATATATGTAGTGTGTGCATGTACTATGTATATATTATATTTTAATATATGTACACTTTATTTATGTATTATGTTTCGCACCTGCCTATAATTGTCTTTGGCACCCAGGGTTGACTGGCAGAGAATACCATATGGCATTAAGTCCGCTCTATGTATACCCTTTACCTTAAGGTGTTACATTAAAGTTTTTAAATAAATAAAATAAATAAATATTTAGCCATGGTTTACGATGATATGGAAGATGAATAGTATATCATTTTGTACCTCCAAGAGCAGTCAACTAAAGACTGTTCACTAAGGTCGATATTCCGCCCGCCATTACTTCTCGAAATAGCCGCTTCGATAGCAGCCGTGGTTGCAAACGCCCAGCAAGATCCGCAGTCTCCTTGGTCTGTGTTACGATATGATCCAATCAGCTTATATTATTAAATAAGTAATTAATGTACGTTGTCAAATTGCCGTGTGCAGTGTTTCTATATTTAAAAACGCTTCGTTTTCTTTTACAAACCATTTTACAGTAAAGGAATTGCATACTTGTTTTTTTTAAAAGTGAAAACTTCTTTAGAATCGTTGTTGTTTATTACATATTTAATATTTTTGCTAGATGCCGGTTAGCCCATATATTATCTATATATAATACAATGTATCTAGCTGTAGTTTTTTTTGCGCGGCAACAGATGTGATAATGTGTCAACTCAGTACGAATAAAGTAATCATTGAGTGAAGACAGGTTTCTTTCATTATTTCACCTGCAAGCAAAAGTGCACCTTATTATCGAGTGCACAGTTGTGATTTGAAACTTGATGAAACAAAAAGGCTATACTAAAAAGAGACAAACATATACGACAGAATGAAATAGAATATTATATTAAATTAGTCGTGCATAGGCCATCTAGCGTCTATTTTACGTACCATCTTGAGGGTCAATCAATTCGTCGTTCACGCCGCAAAGGGGCGAACCTCAATTTTTCAAAAAAATTACGGGAGAGCAGGAAAACATTTATTATTCCCCGATTACTAGCTTTTTTCATCAGAAAATTAAATATATTAATTAAACTTGATGGAAAATTACAAATAAGATTATTAAGAGCAAGAAAACATTTATTATTCCCTGAATACTAGCTTTTTTCATCAGAAAATTAATCTTATTTGTAGTTTTCCATTAAGTCTAATCTTAATGGAAAACTACAAATAAGATTAATTTTCTGATGAAAAAAAGCTAGTACTCGGGGAACAATGAATGTTTTCTTGTTCTCCTGTAATTTTTTGAAAAATTGAGTTTCGCCCCTTTTGCGGCGTCAACGATGAATTTTTGTTCAATAAAATGACTTTACCTATAGATACAGGTATTGATAAATCCTTTATGCCTGTGTCTATCGCTCGCACAGCGGTAACCTGGAGACACTCGATTATTTGATCACCTTAGTGAGGCTGTTGATGTGGCCTTAAATCATATTGCATAACTGGTCTATCTGGGGGACTTTAATGCCTGTCAGCAAGACTAGCTGTTCTCATACCAGAAGACCAACCATGTTAGAGGAAAAGCGAGGAATTTTGCCTTGACGCTAGGTCTTTCACAGTTGGAAAAAAAAGCGACTAGGGTACCTGATGAAGACGGCCACACAGCCAATTGCTTGGACCTTTTGCTGACTACCGAACCAGACAAGTGTGACTTACACATTACCTCCCATTTGGGTACATTTGACCGCTGTCTGGTGTAGTCAGTATCGTCATATTCTCCACCTGATTATGAGTCCCAAGGTGTTCGACGAATATCACGGTATAAGTCGGTTGATTGGGATAAGCTGCGATAATTTTTTGCATCCTACCCTTGGCGGAAGGTCTGTTTTTCTTCTATGGATCCGTTGAGCTGCGCGAATGCGATAACCGATGTGTTGTGTCAAGCTATGGAATATTTTATATTCTTTTCTGACGCTCCCTTCGGTAACAAAGCTCGCCTATGGTTTAACGCTGAATGCATCCAAACTGAAAAGCGCAAGCATTTAGCGTATTTATCCTGGGTTGATATTGAAAACCGCAAAGCTCCGGCTATCAGCTCCAAGAACAGAGCTTTCAACCAGGTCATCAAGTCCCACAAAAAAGCGTTATGGAAATTCAGTCTCGATCGCATTAAAAATATTGGCGCAAAACTCTCCGCCGGCACTAAATCTTTTTGGTCTCTTGCCAAAGCGGTCGAGACCAACTTCTGTCGGCCTACACTGCCTCCGCTGGTTAAACTGGATGGCATACTAGCGCATACGGCTAAAGAGAAAGTGGGATTGTTCGCGTCTCTCTTTGCCTGCAATTCGCGTCTAGACAGTGGCAACTTTGTTTCACTTCAATTACTTCACTGCGGGACATCTATGTCGGAGGTTCGTATCACAAATAAGTCTTAAAACCTTGCGGTGTCTAGACGTGAATAAAACTAGTATAACAGATGGTATACCAGCTTTTGTTCTTATGTCTTGTTCAGCGGAATTATCTCTTGTGCAGACACGCTTGTACCGTCTTTAATTTAGGACTGGAATAGTGCCAAAATCCTGGAAGCTGGTCAACATGCTGCCTGTTCCAAAAAAAGGCAGTCGTGCCAACCCTGCCAATTATCGATCAATCCCATACATTACCTCCATACTCTGTAAGATTATGGAGCGCATATTGAAGGTCCGCTTAATGGCAAACACTCCTTAGTGACCACCAGTACGGGTTTAGCCAAAATCGGTCAGCTGGGACCTTCTAGCGTATGCTAGACACGTACAGGTCGGGGCACTCGGGAACAGTGGGGAGCCACTTGCTTGTTCTTTTGATGCCTTTGACAGAGTTTGGTATGCTAGCCTATCGGGTAAACTTCCAGCGTACGGCTTATCCCCTGGTCTGATTGACTGGGTAAAGGACTTTTTGAGTGAACGTTCTCTCCGCATCGTCGTCAATGGCTGCTCATGCGTTCCTGTGGTGACTAACACCGGTGTTTCACAGGGGTCCGTTCTCTCCGCAACTCTGGTCCTGCTGCATATTAGTGATCTGCTTATTCCCGGTATCTATAGGTATACAGACGACAGCACAGTAGTGGAGAGATACCAACCAAGTCCTCGGGCCAGTCAGATTCAAATTCAGTCCGAAAGAGAAGCTATAGTTGAGCGTGTTAATCTCACACTTCAGGCAGTCTCCGAATGGGACGATGCCAATCTTGTAAAATTCAACGCCTCCAAAACACAAGCATGTCTCTTCCCTGCAAAAAAAAGCCAGCTCACCTTGGCTCCTTTTTTTCGAAACGTATCACTGGAATACACCGATCGCCTTCAATTATTGTGGGTTGAGATATCCTCAAACCTGATTTTCGGGTGGATAATTCAGACTAAGATCAAAGCAGCTGCAAGAAAGCTAGGAGTCATTGCAAGTGTGCAGCGGTATTTCTCGACAGGACAGCTGCTTACTCTATATAAAGCACAAGTCTGGTTGTGCATGGATTATTGCTACCATATATGACTGGTGTTGTAAAATGCCACTTAGCAGTTTTGGCCTCAAAGGAAAGGCGTGCTAAGGTTTTGCTAACATATACCATTAGTTTCGCTTTGATACTGCTTCTCATCGCCGTTGTATATTATCTCGTGTAATAGCGGTGGTTATACCACCATTCATTAGAAACCTTGAGATGGTTCTGGCATTTTTGTAATAGCCTTCTATCATATATATACAAATATATATATATATATATATATATATATATATATATATATATATATTTGTATGTAAATACACATGTATGGCCTCCGTATTGAGTGTTGGGTTCTTACGTCGTCACAACACGGCAAACTTACTTTTGATAGACGATATTATACCATCTTGCCTCATATCATAATTGATTGGTAGTTCTTCTTCCATAGCATTTAGTTCTTCTTCGGAGAAAGGAAACGGCTCAGTGCCAAGAGCGTTAGATTTGGAGGGTCTGGTTCCGAAAAGGTGTACCAGTTCCTCGTCGAAACGATCAGCAAATTTGTTAACTTCTAATTTATAGCCCAGGTTTTTGCGATTGTGATGTACGATACGTCTGAAATTGTTGTCTTCCTGAGTACATGTGACTTAATCAACACCAATTTAAAACATATGTTTCAAAAATTAAAAGAAATGTCTCACCTCCAATTATCTGCAAATATTAATTTCCTTACTTCAAATTCTTTGTCCTTATAATTCCTTCCATGATAATTTTTATAGCTGTAATAAAATATATTTGCTTTTCAATTGGAATCAATGTTTTATATATTTCGAATTTTTCACCTTTTCGTAAAAATATATTTAGTTTACCTTTCAAAAGCCTTGTTTACATCGGAATCAAGATGAGGATGCAGGTTTTCGAGATCCTGTTTGAGATTAGTGTCTAAAGGCTCTGCATCGTTACATTTTCCAACTGCAACAAAATGCTAGCATATAGCTTATATTTCGTTGAGTTTTAGAAGTTTTAGTTTTGTAAGTTTATTCATTCGTAAGTTTATATTTCCCCTATAGAAGTTTATAATGGTGATAAGTATAAACACACAGTCCACTTGCATGGTAAGTGGATGCAATATATATCTAATATCCAATAGTAAGCCTTTTACCTTTCATATCTATGTTTTATTACAAGAATCAAATGCAGATGCGTTATTACCCTTGATAATTAAAATAAAATGTACAGTAAAAACAGTCGCCGGTTCTCTATACTTAACATACGAAACACCGCAGCAGTTGATTTTTTGCGCTGGTATTGTGTGAGAGCGTACCCCCGGAGTGAGATAAGTTATTTGTGCAGCAACCATACTTACTATAGCTGCAGCATAGCTTTACAATGTGTTTTAATAAAAAAAAAAACAAGTAATCAACTAAAATCCATCGTTTGCGCAAACACTAGGTTATCATTTCAAAAACGCTATGGATTTTAATTGTTTATCACTGAATGAAAATACTGTGCTTTTTAGGCTTAAAAGCGCCAAACTCGTTCTTTATATTTTTAGTCTTTAGGTTCTTATAGAAAGGGAATCTACTACTATATCTTCAGGTGGGTATAAAAAGAGGCGACAGACGAAAACATTTGTATTAAATACACAAATGTGAAAAAGATTTTTGAGAAGATAGGCTGTATTGAAAGAATTTAACGCAAATGTCTTCGATGTCGATTTAGTGCAAATGGTTTTATCAAACCCCAAATCAAAGATGTCGAGAGGGTTATTCCGGCTTGTTTCTAGGACGGAATAATTATCTTCTCTTCTTCAGTATAAGTTTCTTTTTAGGTTAGTAATTTAACTCACAATTATACATTTTTATTTTGTTATAGTGTTAGCAGTAATTAGTATAAGGTATGATGGGATTGCCATGTCATTTTGACAAATATCCCAAAAAAATCAAGAAAAAAAATACACAAATGCGTATTTGTCATAGTATTAATAATAGGGAGGCGAGTTGGTAGTGTTTATTATTATTTTGAGCTGCTGAGGATGCTGCTGCCCATCTCCTATTTCATTTCCTTCAGTCGCCTCGTTTTGCCACAGAATCCTTTTTGCAACACCTTTACCCAAAGCCACTCTGATTGATTGAACTGATTCTGCACTTAAAAAACATATATATGTATGTTATGATTTTTTTTTTCGTAAGACGTGGATAACGTAGTTGATTGTACAATTATCCATTTAATTTCTAATTTAAACTTCTATTCTGTGTAATACCCATTGTACTATTGTTTGTTGTCCCAAATAAATAAATAAAAAGAGTCCGAGTTTAGCACAAGGGTTTGTAGTTTTTTTTTTATTATTTTGAATTGTAACTGGAAGATGTAGCTGCCCATTTTCTGTTTCATTTCCCTTTAGATTAGTAGATTAGTAGATTTTCTTACACCTCCACTAAACGGCCACAGGTGGTCTAAGGCCCACAGCAATCACTTATGATAAGAAAATCGTTTGCTTATTTATGTAATTTACGAAGAAAGATAAATGCTTTCTCTTCTCGTTCTTGAAAAAGCAGTAGATTTAAAAAAAGATCGAACCCGTGTTGCTCGCGTACTGTAAAATGCACAGTACGCGAGCAACCCGGGTTTGATTCCCGCCGGCACCAATGAAATTGTTTATTGCAATTTTAAGTGCTGATTTACCACGTGCTCGTCGGTGAAGGAAAACATCGTGAGAAATAAGAAAAAAAATCGAAGACATGTGAAGTTCGCCAACACGCATTGGGACAGCGCGGCGGACATTTCTTTGCCCTAAAACCTCTCAGAAATGAGGGGATGCTTGTGCCCAGCAGTGGGACGTATATATGCTGTAACTTAAAAAAAAAAGATGTTAAATAAGAAGAAAAAAACAATTTACCTTACCTTTGCCAACGTCAAGGTCATCCGAACTCACATTGGTATTATTAGCTTTCAAGTCATGCATATCAATTAGCTCATTCTTGAATAAGCAGTAGATTTAAAAAAGCTGTCAAATAAGAAAAAAAAGAAGAAGAAAAAAACAAAGAAGAATTTACCTTACCTTTGCTAACGTCCAGGTCATCGGAACTCACATTGGTATTGAAAATGTAAAAGTTGGTGATACTATGGCTGTTAAGAGCGGCATTCCAAATGATGAACTGCTTTTGGACAAATCTGAAAAGTTGATTACTATTAGTTGATATCACATCCATGATGACCCCCTGATAAACTACGCTGATATTATTAAATCTTCTTCCTAAGCTCATTTAATTCCACTGCCGACTGATTTTCTATAATACCAGTGTACTAGTCAACGTGGTGGAGCCATGCTGCAGCTATATTACTAGTATAGCTGTAGCACGAATGGGTTGGCTCGATCGGGGAAGGACCACGCTCTCGCAGAATACCAGCGTCAAATAGCAGCTTAACACTCCTGTGTTTCGTATGGTGAGTGTAGAGAACCGGAGACCTATTTTACTGGAAAAGAGACATTCCATCTTAGTCCTCACGGGTGACAACGCATCTGCATTTTCCCAAACAAGGATAAATGTAGATGTCTATGGGTCAGAGCAACCACTTACCATCAGGTGGACTGTGTGCTCGTTTGTCACCCTATACTATAAAAGAAAACAATACATTCAGTGATCGAAATACCAGTCGTTTCATAATTTCGATTGCTTCACGTCACCGGTCTTTGTATTTCACGTCGGGCGTTAAAGGGTTGGTTACACCATCGGCAGCCGTGTGAGATTTTTCTAGAATTTTCTATAGTCGCCTCTTAAAAGGTGGTAGGACTCTTTTTCTGTTAGGAGTCCGTCTTGATAGGTAACACTCCCTTAGCTATTACTGCCGCTAAACAGCAGTGTGTGCACTGAACGGTATAGAGATAGTCAGGCTGTAAGGCATTCCCATCTTAATCCTCAGAGGTGAGAATATTTAAAAACTATAATTAAAAAAAAAACTAAAACTAGTAGGTAACTTAATTATCATACAGTCCTACTCCCCGCGGTATCGTGCCAAGAACGCTGACTGCGTTTCCCTGCTCTATGGCTACACCTAGCCTTTGAGCGAGAAAAGAGCCCTCTTATCACCAGCAGCAACGAACAGCCGCGGATGGAGCTCCTTTAGGAACTTCACCGCACGTGGACCCCACGGACCGATAGTCTCCACAGTAAATGGCACAGATATGTGGTCAACTCTCAGAGACTCATATTTGCGCCACTTACTAAGTTCAGCTGCCTCTGATGCCGCCCCGGCTCTAAACGAGGTTCCCCTGAGATGAGATGCCGCCAGAGTGTCTACGCAATTAGCATCCCACACTAGGGCTTTACCTGTCTCCCAAGGGACCAATGTCATACCGTCGGGTCTTCTGCCATATTTAATTATTTGTTTGAAGTTGGCTGCTGTTGGCTGACGTGTCCAAGAGCAGCCACTTACTGTCAGGTGCAAGTTTGTTGGTCACTTTCATCTATAATATAAAAATGAATTGCTGAATGTGTTGCTAAGCGCAAATCTCGAGAGCAGCTGAACCGGTTTCGCTAATTCTTTTTTTATAATATTCCTTGAAGTACGAAGATGGTTCTTACGGAGAGAAAAATTTAAAAAATCGCCTGAAAAAGTCTAAAAACAACACTTTTCTATATTCCCACACAAAAGATTCGTAATAATATTTGAAAGTCAATTTGAACTTTAATACCATACCATAAAGTTTAAGTATTAGTGGAGAGGTTCCTGGAAGGCAAAACAATTGAGTGACGTTAGTATCGTATAAATATTAATGTCAATATTTATACGATGGTAACATTACTCAAAAACAAAATTAAAGGTTCCGCAAAAAAAAATTGATATCCATGAAATCTTAGTAAATTCCACGCTTGCGAAGTCGCGGGGAACAGCTAGTTTTATATAAAAACATACCTGACAGGAATGTACTGATTGTCTTCGTTTTTATACACGTATATGATATTTTCGTATTTATAATGATTCGCTTCTTCGACGACGGACTTCCAAATCTGCACCAATTTACCATCGTATGTCTTATCACCTGTTATTAAAATATAAATTCAAATAAATTATAAGATAGATTCGTACTAATCACTCGACTTTTGAACAGAAACTGCCAAAAATAAGTATGCAAGGTTCAACGTGATAGAGGCATGCTTCAGCTATGTTATGGTTGTAGCACGAATGGGTCGGCTCGATCGGGGACCACACTGTCACAGAATACTAGCGTGAAAATGCAGCTTTATACTGATGTACTTCATATGGTGAGTTCACAGAACTGAATACCCGTTTTGCTGGAAACGAAGCATCCGATCTTACTTCTTAAGTGTGACAACATATCATATATAAAATTCTTAATCGAGTATGGTTGTAGACGTCTATGGACCACTGCATCCGCTTACCATCAGATTGACTGTGTAATTATTTGTTACCCTTATTCTATAAAAAGAAACTTATACGTAGCTGACAAAAAAGGACTAATGTCCAGATGTTGGATGAAAAGAGAGAAGGAATTAGGAAAATCTCATCGTTTGTAACGCTATTAAACTAACAAGAAATAATACCTTGATAAGTAAAATCTTCAACAGATGGTAAGAATTTTGTCATTTGTTCATTACACGGTACTTGACTACAATACAGAATGCTATCCAGGTCGCCTTCAGTCTTCGGAAAGAGCTGCAAAGTAAAAAAAGAAAAGTTATACTTTCTTTATACAAGCAAGGATGACAAACGATGACACTCTCTGCGATGTTTAGTGCTTTGCTATAAAAACATTATAATGTGTAGTAGTCATGTTACAACGCTTTCCAGATCCAGGACTAATAGGAGGAGAAATACTACGCCCGCATGGAATACCGGTGTAAAATAGTGTCGTAAAGCTGCTGTGTTTCATATGGTCAAACATATGAAATACAGCATGATAGAGCCATGCTTCAGCTATATAAGTAGTATAGTTGTAGCACGAATGGTTCAGCTCGACCGGGGAAGGACCACGCTCTCACAGAATACCAGCGTAAAATAGCAGCCTAAAGCTGCTGTGATTCGTATGGTGGGTGTAGTGAACTCGAGACCCTTTTTACTGGAAAGGAGGCATTCCATCTTAGTTTTCACGGGTGACAACGCATCTGCATTTTTATACGTAATCGAGGATAGATGTAGATGTCTATGGGTCACAGCAGCCACTTACCATCAGGTGGACTGTGTGCTTGTTTGTCACACTTATTCTATAAAAAAAGAAACATGAGACCTATTTCATTTGTAACAATACATTCCGAGTTAGTCGTCTGGGTAAACAACGCATCTGCGTTTTGATTCGTAGTCAAGGGTCAAGTGAATGTATATACCGTTACCGTTACGGCCAGCCTAAGTCCACTGCTGAACATAGGCCTTCCTGCAATCATAGGCAATCCTCATAGGGGGAACATTTGCCACAGTTACCATACTTGGCAAGTGGTTGGCAACCGCAGTTTATTTTTTATTTTCAGTCGTTATTAGGAAGACACTACTGCTCATCTCCTGATTTGTTTCCCTCTGTTATCCTGATTACCGTGTACTGGCGGTGTAAGAATATCCACTACCCCATATCATCACGTGGGTAGTTGAAGAGGTTACAGAGGGAAACAAATATATGTAGGAAGTATAGTGGGTATAGTACAGAGACTGATTTTGTAGTTAGGAATAATAATTAATTCGTTTACACGAATTAATTATCCAACGAGTCAAGGATAGACTAGTAATACGGAATACGACAAGCGCACCGTTCCACGTCAGAGCCAAGGCTGTCCTAATGGCGGCAGCTCCGTCCGTTTTATACAAGCTAAACGGGCGCCACCGCAGGTGCAATGGTGCAGGTGTGCGGAGCAAGTGTTATTTACAAGAATTATGTCTAGCTACACCGACGCCGTCGCACGTGCAATGTTGCACGTGCCGTTATATACATATTAATTCTCTAGGGTGACAGTGCATCTATCTGTATGTTCGAGATCGTTTCACTTGTGTAAATTGTTTCAATGGTTCAACATAAATTTTCGTTACTGCCTATCAAAGTTTTTGAACATAGGTCCTATAGAAAATACTATAGGAGGGTGGGGCGGAGAGGGGAGGGGGGATATTTTTGTCATCTCCATTTTAAATCTTAATGGAGAGTATACTATGCCGCGATTGGTGATTCCTAATCGAGGATAAATGTAGAAGTCTGTCTGTGTCAATGTAAAGAAGTCTATGGGCCACACTTCACTTACAAACAGGTGGACTGTGTGCTTGCTTGTCACTCTTATTATATTATAAATAAACACTGTTATACTGAAGAGCCAGTGATCTTAACTTACCTCATAAGCAATGGTCCTCTTTTCTTCCGGATCCCTATATATAAAACGTTTCACCGTTCCCTCATAGAAGTCTATCCGGGAGCGGTTTTGTTCTGAACTGTGCCTGTTACCAAAAGAGGATAAAATTACATGAAATGCTTAGTTTGACACGCTGTTCAGCCAAGATTAGCTATCGCAGAGTATATTTCTCCTGCTGAAGCCCCGTTTCATATAATATAGATTATAGACGGCTCCGTTGCGCAGTGGCTTAGTAATGAGTTGCAGCGCTCGGGGCCGCGGCTCCGCATCCCGTACGGAACAAGTATGGCCTACGAATAATTCGTCGTTGACGCCGCAAAGGAGCAAACCTCAATTTTTCAAAAAATTACGGGAGAACAAGGAAACATTTATTATTCCCCGATTATTAGCTTTTTTATCAGAAAATTAAATATATTAGACTTAATGGAAAACTACAAATAAGATTGTTTGCTCTTGTAAGATTTATGTTCTTAAACAGCCTCTGCGAAACAAGATAAAATCATAGTGTGATTAACATTATCTAAAATTAAAAAAAAAACATATTATGGCTTCCGATAGATGTGGGATGGCTCGTAAAATACATGGAACTGGGACGGGGAGCAGCGTTAAAGCTACCCCACGTCTAGTACCTACTGCGAAAGTCCTCTGCTTACATCCGTACGTATACACGATCGGCACGTTGCGACTGTTCTTTACTGCAGTGGCTAATGCACCCAGCATTAGCCACTGCAGTATATATTTATGAAGTGATAAAATTAAAAAAAAATGTACAACCGACTTCAACATAAATAAAGTCATCATCAATGTAGTTAAAGTTTATTAAATACACATTATTATAAGGATTACTCAAAATCTACCGGTCAGATCTTTATTAAATTTGTATGGGACTACATGACAAGCACTAGCCTTCAAATAAGAATAGAACCATCAAAATCGGTTCACCTAAAAAAGGTTCTGAGGTAACACACATAAAAAAATACAGTCGAATTGAGTACCTCTTCCTTTTTTGAAGTCGGTTAAAACGCTTCGTTTTTTTTTACGAGACGTTTTGTAGTCGTATCGTACGAAACCCAGGTGACGGAATAGGCTATTTGATACCCTAACGCCGCCATTACACTGTTAACATACTGTAATATGCCTAAATACTAATACAAATGTATACTTGGTAGAGCCATGCTGCAGCTATATTATGGTTGTAGCACGAATGGGTCAGGGGAAGGACCACGCTCTCACAGAATACCAGCGTATAATAGCAGCTTAACGCTGCTGTGTTTCGTATGGTGAGTGTAGAGGACCAGAAACCCTTTTTACTGGAAACGAGGCATTCCATCTTAGTCCTCGCGGGTGACAACGCATCTGCATTTTGATTTGTAATAGAGGATAGACGTAGATGTCTATGGGCTGCAGCAACCACTTACCATCAGGGGGACTCGTGTGCTCGTTTGTCACTCTTATCCTATTAAAAAATATACTCAACGCTGCTCAATTTTAAGATGCCTTTAATCCTCGTGCTGTCCCTGTTTTCTAGTGAATGAATCTCGTTTTACTGATTTAATAACGTTTTATTGTATTTCAGTTTAATTTCCGATGTATTGAGTGCTTTACAGCACTCATCACGATGGGACACTTGAAGTGGTAAGTGAATGCTGTGGCCCATAGACATCTACATTTATCTTGAAATAAGAATCAAAATGCAGACTCGGTGACCTCTGAGCACTATCATGGAATGGCTCGTTTCCACGTAAAAAGGGCCTCGGGTTCTCTACACTCACCATACGAAAAACATCAGCATTAAGCTGCTATTTTACGCTGCTGGTATTCTGTGAGAGCGTTACCCTTACCCGTACGAGCTGAGCCATTCGTGCTACAACCATAATATAGGTACAGCGTGACTCTACCACGTAAAATTTGTTAATATACGCGATGAAATTCGAAAAACTTAGTTTAATTTGTAGTGTTCGCGTAAATAAACTCGTACAATATGACTATCATTATTTTTTACTTGATTTTAATAATCGTGTGTGTTTGACGTCCCGATGATAGTAAGTTGTGTTATGTGGTATGAACAGTGGTAGAGCCACGCGGCAGCTTTTGCTTAACAGTGGTAGAGCCACGCGGCAGCTTTTGCTGTTGCACGAATGGGCCGGCTCGAACCGGGGTAGTACCACGACCTCACAGAAAACCAGCGTGAAGTAGAGGTTTACCTCTGCGTTTCGCTTGGTGAGTTCAGGTGGCCGGAGGCCCTTTTTACTGGAAATGAGGCATTCCATCTTAGTCCTCACGGGTGACAACGCATCTACATTTTGATTTGTAACAAAGGATAGATGTAGATGTCTATGGGCCGCAGCAACCACTTACCATCAGGTGGACTGTGTGCTCGTTTGTCACCCTTATCGTATAAAAAAATGTATATAAGCTAACTGGAAGTCCTGCGTTATTTCAAGAGCTGAAGCTACTTCGATTAACATTGACATTGGGACGTTAAACACATTAGTTTCTCCGTGACCAGTGTTGCAAAACACCCAAAACATCAGCAAAGTCCGTAAAACTAATTTTATTTATTTACATACACTTACCATACTTCGTAAGGCTCAACGATACCAGACTTGAGGCTGATCTTTTCAGCTTTAAAATAAAATTCTGTCGGCCATATTAGACTTTCTTCTGGCGCGTAATTGTCTGCAAAATTGTACATATAAATATATATAAGGTTATAAGTAATTTCAAAATGTTTTTAGAGTTGTAAGTAAATTAATGTGACTCTAACAAATGCCTAAATTAATCCTCAATAAATAATCAAATTGCAGATGCATTGTTACCCTAGATGACTAAGGTAGATTGTCTCGTTACGAATTAAAAGTGTCTCGCGTTCTCTACACGGTCGATACGAAACACAGTAGGATAACTATTTTAGGTTTGTAATCTATAAAATCATTTTCAATCGATTACATCACAGATAGTCTTTTTGATTCCACAGTTAGACGAAGGCTCTTCCAAAAATTCCCCAACTTTGTGCGCCATCTGGTATGAATCTGTTGAAAGCTTTAGTTATACTCATCACGATTGCCAGACCATCGAGATTTGTTTTAATAAAATTATAATTTAAAATAAGGTACAAACGACTTCATTATAAATCACTAACAATTACTCAAAAACTATTGGTCAGACCTTGATCAAATTTATATGGCACCACAGGAGAAGCACCAGCACTCAATTAAAAAAAAAACATCGGAAATCGGTTCACACAGAAAAGGTTATGAGGTAACACATGTTGAAAAACATACAGTCGAATTGAGTACCATCTCCTTGAGACCTTTTTGAAGTCGGTAGAAAATGACATCCAAAAAAGTTCACCTGATAGTAATTGAACTACTGGAGTCTACAATCACCTGCAACTAACTTCAAATAAAGAAGGTAACTGTACTGGCTCTCCATAACCTGCAGACTGGAACTTAGTAATGCACACAATAACGCACTTCGTTTACCAGTAGAAACAGGTAAGAGAATGATAAGAGAACGAGGATGATTAGACTAGAAGTAATTAGACAAGCATAACTTGACCCTAAAACTAGAAGTGTATGATTTGCACAGTTTTAGCCCTCGATTGAATTTCGCATCCATAATCTACGAGGCATAACTAAATGTCCTCCAGACCGAATTTCAGATACGACGGCCGATCTCAACGGAGGCTAGCCAACTGCGCAGGACAGGATTATAGTGCCCAAGTATTCTCACTCTCTTTCTTTACTCTCATAGTCCGATCGCACGGTAATTGAACACGACCGGAGAGAGATTAGGCGCAACACCGACGGCTTTACGTGCTTTACGAGGCACGGGGCGAAACGCCGCTATCTTCCTGACTCCGAGCTGCTACTGAAATTTCTTGACAAAAAAACCCAATAACTGAATTCAGCCCGACCCGATATTTAGACCCATGTTATGGTGATGTAAAGGAATCCATTTCCCCATATTATTTGGTAAGTTCCGTACAATTCGATGATGGCGAAAAGCGAGGTCTCATAGCCTCCAATGGGAGGCTGTATAACTACCTCGTATATTTTAATTCTCTCCGTTTAAGTTCTCGTGTTTAGCTTTACAATATCCTTTAAGTAACGTTAGATTTATTACATACATTATTTATACTTTATGATACAAAACATATAACATAAGCTTTGATATTTTCTACCGACTTCACGAAAGGAGACGGTACTCAATTCGACTGTATGTTTTTTTTTTTATGTGTGTTACCCCATAACTTTTTACGGAGTGAATCGATATCGATGATTCTTATCTCATTTGAAAGCTGATGCATCACATGTGGTCCAATATAAAATTGATCAAGATCTGACCAATAGATTTTGAGTCATTCTTAATAGTTTGTATTGAAGTCGGTTGTACAAAATTTTAAAAATAAAAAATTTATATTAAAAAATTACATGATGGATAAAATCTAAATAAATGTTATTTTTCAGGCACATCCAGGTAACTTTTGACTAGATAACACTGGCAACACTTCAGAAGGTAAAACACATCAACAACTTAACCAATATCTGAGCGTGTAACTAAAAATTTATATTAAAAAATTACATGATGGATAAAATCTAAATAAATGTTATTTTTCAGGCACATCCAGGTAACTTTTGACTAGATAACACTGGCAACACTTCAGAAGGTAAAACACATCAACAACTTAACCAATATCTGAGCGTGTAACTAAAAATTATAATTTTAAAATTTTAAATTTTAAAAACCACCGAAGCAAAAGAGCTGTTGATCATCAAACGGATATTCAATCAGCTAAACATATATTCTTGAAACATATCTACGAACACTATCGATTAAGACACCTTTCAAACGAAAAAAAAAATTATTCAAATTCTGTTCATCCGTTCGAGAGCTATGATGCCACACACACACAGATACAAACAACAAACTTATAACACCCCTCTGTTTTCTTCGGAGGTTAAAATATACAAAATATTAAATATTTTGTATATTTTAACTATAATTAAAAGTATTAATTATTTTTATATCAATTATATTTATATTAATTATTTTTAACTAAAATTAAAATTTATAATTATAATTTCTTAGCGGTCAGCCACCAAAGAGTCTACTACACCTCAAGATGCCTCGTGTAGAGGCGAAACACGTTTTACACATTATCGTCGGTGGTGTATCTTTTCTAGTATAGTGGTCTATATAGTGGTAATCAAATTCTGTTCATCCGTTCGGGAGCTATGATGCCACACACACACACACATATACAAACAACAAACTTATAACACCCCTCTGTTTTCTTCGGAGGTTAAAATATACAAAATATTAAATATTTTGTATATTTTAACTATAATTAAAAGTATTGATTATTTTTTATATCAATTATATTTATATTAATTATTTTTAACTAAAATTAAAATTTATAATTATAATTTCTTAGCGGTCAGCCACCAAAGAGTCTACAACACCTCAAGATGCCTCGTGTAGAGGCGAAACACGTTTTACACATTATCGTCGGTGGTGTGTCTTTTCTAGTATAGTGGTTGTGGGAGTAGTGGTACTGGGATTAGTGGTAACTGGGATAGTGCACGCAACTGAGGGAGGGCGGGAGGTTCTCTTCAAGCTAGGTTAGACACATCTTTGTATTTTATTGAGCGGATTATGACAAAGTAAGTTTTTCCAACTTTAAAATATTAAATACTTTACCTATAAAGAAGGAACAGCAACCGAGCACTGAATGTAACAATACAATCAGATATTTCATGTTGAACAGGGTAATGTTTGAAATGTTCTGAATCCGTTAATATAAATGCCGTGTTATCAAACTTAATAAAGCTAATTAAAATTAATGCTGGCTTAATAATTAATATAATGAAACAGATTGTGTATTTAAATATTCAATAGTATTAGTAGGATCGAGATAGTAATGTTCCATTGACGTTGGAACAGAACATAATGGCATATTATTATTTTTTATTCAATATAGATTAACATTTAGCACTAGGACCCCGTCTCAGCTCAGTTAGAACGTTTCGATTTAAGATAATTAAAGACCACTTATTAAGTCAATGTTGGTTTTGGTTTTTTTTCTCCAAGTTTTCAGATAAAATATAGCCTAGATTACTCCTGGTCTCCTGGTGTATCTCTCTATGAGTTTGAGAAGTTTCTTTACTAGTGTTGCCACAGAAACCATTTATAATCAGGTGGAGTGTGTGCTCGTTTATCATACTTACACATAATAAAAATGCTATGTAGTAATTCGTAACGTTGAGAGAGTACGATTTACCATCTAGGGCTTCATCACCACTTCCCACCAGGTGAGATTGTAGTCAAGCACTGGCTTATAATTAGTTAAAAAAAATAGGACTACCTTTGGTTTTCCTTAAATATTTTTATTTTTTTATATTATTTTGCTTGGTATACAATAAAGAGGTTTGTATTGTATTGTATAAATATTACATAATATTTATTAAAAGTCTGTTTTTGTATTTACCACAGACTCGGAAAATATCTCTGTCCTGGAAAAAATCAGCCTGAAACCTGATGGAATAGTTCTTTTTTTCCACATTAAAGCTTCCAATATTAGTGTATATTTAATTACTTATATTTATTATTGGTACAGCAGGAGATGGACAATAGCGCCTTCCAAATAAATAGAGAATTGAAATTCTGAAGGTGGATTTTTTTTTATAGGATAAGGGTGACAAGGAGCGCACAGTCAACCTGATGGTAAGTGGTTGCTGTGACCCAAAGACATATTTTTTTTTTATATACGAGGGTGACACTGAAAGTTCTTAGAAAATCAAAAACTGAACAAACTACTAAGTTATTAATTTATTATATATTTTCAAAATAATAAATGCCCACTTTTCCTTACGGTTCTCCTCGACGGCATTTTGAAACGCAGCCACTGCTTCCTCGGCGTCCATAAAACGTTTTCCTCGAAGTTTTTATTTTATTTTTGGAAATAAATATAAATCACAAGGTGCGAGTTCGGGGCTATAGGGCGGGTGACCCAGTATTTCCACGTCTGACGACGCCAAGTACTCAATCGTTTGCTTGGCGGTGTGCGACGAGGCGTTGTCGTGGTGAAGGAGGATCCTACTGCTAGGTCGTTTGTCCCGAACTTTTTCCAAGACAAACGGCAAACAATTATTAGTGTACCACTTTGCAGTAACTGTTTTTCGATCCTCCAAAACAATTGTTGCGTAATGTCATTTACCTGTCCTTCCGAAGAACGAGGCCACCGGTTTTTTTCCCACGCATCGATCTCTCTTCACTTTAGTTGACAACTCCTCGGAAGGGAACACCCAGACAGCAGACTATCTTTTAGTTTCAGGATCATAACAATAAATCCAGCTTTTGTCACCCGTAAGTATGTCGAACACAGCATTTGAGTCACCTCCGTTCTTTAAACCATTTCACGACACCAATCAACACGACGGAGTTTTTGGGCCTCTGTCAAATTATGAAGTATCCACGGGGCACAGAGCTTCCTGACTGTTAAATGTTCATGGAGGATTTTGTGTGGCACGAGATGGGGCCTCATCATGAAAGGCCAATCGAAGTCTATCATAACTTTCTTGTTGACTTAAATGACAGCGAAAGTCATAAAAAATCATTGTACGAACATTTTCTCGCGTTAAATTCATGCTGACGTGACACACGTTCAATTTGCCGCCTAATCGTAAACAAATGACAAATTAATAGAATACATACACAGAAATATTGGCAAAGAGATCCATTTTTAAAATTTGAACTTATTTTTTTATTACATCGTTTACAAGTGGCCAGTTCTAAAAACTTTCAGTGTCGTCCTCGTACGAGAGGAGGCAAACGAGCATACGGCTCACCTGATGGTAAGTGACTACCGTCGCCCATGAGCAACTGCAACACCAAGTTAATTGCAGGCGCGTTGCGGGCCTTTAAAAAGGAGTAACCTCTTTTCTTGAAGGTTCCTAAGTCGTATCGATCCGAAAAAATCGCCGATGGTAAATTATTCCACAGAGAGGTCGTACGCGGAAGAAAACTCCTAGTAAAGCATACGTTATACGTAAGTAGTGGAGGACCACCAAGCATCCAGATGGTGTGGATTATATCGGGAGTTCTGCCGCGATGAAACCCAGCCGTTAATTCGAACAGTTCCTCAGAGCACTCCCCGTGATAAATGCGATGAGCGAGAGATGCAACATCTCTTCACAGCGCCAATGAGTCGAGCCGATCGGAAAGGACTCGGTCGTCGACGATTCGAGCCGCTCTGCGCTGGATGCGGTCAAGTTAAAGGAGCTGGCACTGGGGTGCCCCAGCCCAGAGATGAGAACAGCATTCCACGTGAGGCCGAATTAGCGCTTTGTAAAGTTGCAAGCGATGTGCCGGCATGAAATACTGTCTCGCTCTGCTGAGCACACCAAGCTTTTTAGAGGCCAAATTTGGTCTTTTCTTCCAAGTGACCATAATTCCGATACTGTCTGAGGCAACAAGGGGAGTGCCTTGAAACTGAGGAGATACGACAAAGGGGTTCTTTTTCGCGCAAACTTGTGTTTTCTAAGGATTAAACTGGACTCGATTTAGTCGCTGCCAATCCGAGACTTTGTTCAGCATAGACTCGACTTCACACATAATTATGTTCCGGTACTCGGCGATATTTTCCCGGTAAATATTGGCACGTCCGGTGTATAAAGCATCACCAGTGCTATTATCCGCATAGCAATGAATTTTACCGGTTTGCAACATATCATTGATATGCAGAGAAAACAGCGTTCGTGATAGCACGCAGCCTTGTAGAACACCGGCGTTAATAGGCTTGTAGTTGGAGCATGCACCGTCTACCATGATCTTGATGCACCGATCTGCAAGAAAGCTGGTGATCTAATTGCACAATTTTTCGAAAGTCCATAGGAAGGGAGCGAAAAAAGCACTTTGTGTCAAACCCGATTGAAGGCCTTCGCAATGTCCAAACTAACGGCTAATGCCTCCCCCTTGGACTCTACTGTCTCCGCGCATCTATAAGTCAGGCAGACCATCTACATCTATTCTCGTTTGCGAAGCAAAATGCAGATGCGTTGTCAGCCGTGGGGACAAAGATGCAATGCCTCTTTTTCAGTAAAACTACCAGTCTACTAGGAACGTGTATTACGATGGTACGGAACCCTTCATGTGCGAGTCCGACTCGCACTTGGCCGGTAATTAATTTGTTAACCCTACTTATCTTCGCCGTGTTGTGGCCGCGAAAGAGATTCTACTACGCCATATCATCTAACGTGTGTTGTAGGAGGCGACAGAGGCAGATGAAAAAGGAGATGCGTAGCAGCGAAAAATTGCGCTTGCCATGCCCCTGCCAAGCGTGGCAACAGTATCCCGCCTATGAGGTAATTTAAGGGGCCTATGTTTATCGAAGGACTTTTGACAGGCTTTTATTTAATGATTTATTTATTTATTTATTCTTTATTGCACCAAATATTTGTACAAAAGGCGAGCTTAATGCTATATGGTATTCTCTACCAGTTAACCTTGGGTAGAACAGAGAGTGAGTTTGGGCAGTTAAGTTGTCATAATATAATTCAGTTCAAATATATACATGCGACACATACATAAAATATACATATATATATATATATATATATATAAATATATAATTCATATATATATATATATATATATAATATATATATAATTCATATACATATATAAATAAATACACACATTTATACTATGTAATCTATATTATTGTTTAGCTATTTATTTTATGTATTTTGGTCACGTTTATCTGGGACTTATAGAATCCATAATGCAGCTATATTAGTTGTAGCACGAATGTGTCAGCTCGACCAGGTTAGGACCACGCTCTCACAGAATACCAGCGTAAAATAGCAGCTTAACACTGCTGTGTTTCGTATGGTGAGTGTAGAGAAACTGATATCCTTTTTACTGGAGACGAGGCATTCCATGTTCGTCCTCAGGGATGACAACGCATTTGCATTTTGATTCTAAACCGAGCATAAATATAGATGTCTATAGGTCTTAGCATAGAATTACCTTCAGGTGGACTGTGTGCTCGTTTGTCACCCATATACTATTTAAAAAATAATCATGTGAGACTTATAATAAAACAGAATGTACTTAATGTGTTTTCTGCCTAGCATGTGATTAAAGGTAATTATTGGGATATTGGGTTTGTGATTGGCTAACCACTATTATTATTTGACCCAATATTATTTGGCTTAATGTGGTCTGAGTGGCAGAGTACAAACTCCAAAGAAAAATGTTCTTTGGACTCTGCCTACCCTCACGGATATCACAGCAGTGACGTATATGGAGGATATGTAATGTGAAAATAATAAATAAACTAAGTTATGAAGAAACAATTATATAAAAATAAAAAAAAATATAAATTATCCTTCCCTGGTCACAACAAGACAGATTTTATCGAAAAATTAATTGGTAACTAAGTAACAATAGTCAATAATTCCGAGTACTGTATATGTTGCTTTTCATCCCCTGTGGAGAGGGGTGGAGGGAAGGGATGAAAGGCCCTCCCCTCTCTCCAGGGAGAGCGTCTGGTCATTCAGATCGCGAGTGAGAGGCGCCGCGGTGACTCGCGCCTACGTCGCCCAACCATGTTTTGTTGAGTGCAAAGTGATAATTTTAAAATGTCTAAGTATTACGTACTGCTAGCTGTTTTCCTGTCTGTCTGTCTGGTTATAGGTGAGTTTAGTAGTTTTATCCGTAAATTAACATACTATGTGTAACGCATCGTTCGATTGCAGCGAACGAAGCATATATTTGACAATGCA